AAGCCCGCGCCCGTAAATTTTCCCAGCGCTCTATTGCATCTCTGCCCCTGAACTCGGCCACAGAAGATCCCAGTTCCGACCTGGGACTTCAACCCCCCACTTTCCCAAAAATCCTTGGCACACCCCTCTTCGCACTTCCAGGCCCCCATCCCACTCCGACCAGGAAGTCGCGCCGGGCGTGAGGTTGGTATCGGAGCCCGACACGTGGCTAAGCGATAGGGTCTGTAGACTCAATATTGGCTAAGGCGAGGCGATCTGGCTCCACGTAGGCGCCCTTCAGCTGGGGATACACGCCGACGTAGTCCTGTAGCTACACGAAGCCGAACGTCCGCCACAAGGTGAGCAGGCGCCATGGCTGCGGCCGCTGCTGCAGCAGCCGCTGTGGTGGTCAACCCTAACCAACAGCCTAACCCGCCTGCGCCGCCTGCACGAGCCCTTGCAGCTCCACCAAATCTTTATTCATTTGATCCAGCCCACCATCTCGCTGGAGCATGGTTAGCCACGCTCCGAGCTCAGCGGTATACGAATAATGAAGCTCAGATCAACATCCCCGCGCGGATGGGAGGGGACGCCCATCATTGGTATAGCACTTATGTATGGGTGGATCTTCCCACCTTCGAGTGGGATTTCATGAACCACTTCGATTATGTTCACCGCGAACAAGCACTCTATATGATCAAGGATCAAGTCCAGAAACCACTCGAATCCATTACCGAGTATGGGAACAGATTTCATCGAATGTTTGTAAAGACTAAGCGAGGCGGGCAGGTAGGCCGGGACCTGTTCATTGATGGACTACGTAACAGAACGATTCGGGGGAAGCTACGTAAAAACTTCTCTCCCATTAACCACACGCTGCAACAAATTATGGATGCTGCCGAAGAAATGGAGCGGAAGTTCGCAGGTAGCTTCTTAGAAAATGAGGATTATGGTAGAGAAGGAGACTCGTCAGAACTTGTGAAAGCAAGGGCGGAACTGGCCGCACTGCAAAACAAATTCGAAAACACGGGATTCGTAGCCGGACCCGTTACGTATGTAGAACAGGTGACACCGAGGACCGCACCATGGGGAGCGACTGTAAATAAGCAGATCCCGGTAATGGCGTCCCCAACCGTAACTCAACCACCTCCACCGCCACCCACCATCGAGTCACCCGCAAGCGCGAATGAGTCTGCTGCTATCTTGGAGCTAACTAAAACATTGGTTAGTCTAATCTAAGAAAGCAAGAAGGAACAGCGAGAGCACAATGCCCGATTATAAGCTATGATGCGGAATATGCGACCCATTGCGGTGCGAGCACCAATGCAGGGAGGCATGGCGGCTGCACAAGTTGCAGCGGGGCCAGCCGAGACAGTGGCAAATGCCTGTTTTACATGTCTTCAACCGGGACACTTGGCCCGAGATTGCCCCCATCAGGCCATGCAGCCTCGAGCCGGAGTCGCGCCTGCAGCTGCAGCCCCCATAGCTAACAGCCCGGGACATGTAGGAGCCGTGATGGATGATTAGGGGGGGAGTAATGGAATGATGATTTCCAGTGAGGAAGCAGCCAAGCTTAACCCACTGGAGCAGTATGTATCACTAGGATACCCGGGGCTGGGAATGATTGGGACAATCCGACCGGAACTCGAGTCCAGAAATGTAGCCGAATGGCGACCTTCGTCGAGCGAAACAGACACGTGAGGCCCTACCTTTGTTAAGGGGGAAATCGATGTCCTTGATGTCACCCGAGCACTGGATCATCGAATCCCTCTCCCAATCGGCCACCTACTCTCCATTTCGGAACAGGCGAACGAACGTATGATGCAGTATTGCAAAGTGAACCGGAAGCGATTCGCCCTTGCACGCGCTCAGAAGGCGAAGGCGCCGACTTCGGAGGAAAAGGCGGACGTCGCCCCTGACCCCATCCGAGTCGGATTGATACAGAAAGATGACAATTTTCTTCGGATCAAGCCGATTCCGTGGAAGTCAGCCGAATGTGATATTGAAGTTTGGGGAGTGCCGTATAGTGCGATCATAGATTCGGGAGCGGCTGTCCTAGCGATATCACTCCGAGTAGTCGAGAGAGCAGGTAGGAAGAATGATTTGATTATGCTAACCGAGAAGGACCAGCTCGTATCGGCTGACGAGGAGAAGATCAAGACAGTAGGACGAATGACGAATGTCGCGTTCTGATTGGGAAAAGTGCATGCTTTAGGAGATGTTGTGGTGTTGGATGTGAATACGTATGACGTTCTTTTCGGGCTTCCTGCCTTGGTGGCGCTGCGTGCTAATTTAGACTTCGAACGCCAATCCGTCATTCTCCGGAATACTGGGGGAAAGCCGTATGTAATACCCATGAGACTAACTCTTCGAACGTCGGTTAAGGTAGTACCCCGAATTTCTCCGGAAACAATGGGAGCGCTCCGCATGGTCTCCTGGAGTGCACCGGTGGACGGAGGCCAATCATCGAATGATGAGGGGAGCGACGATGATGACGATCTAGTTGTTACACGGTTAGTACGACAGCGGATTCACTACCCGTCGCCTCGCACCATTGCGCGTACCATGCATCTAACCACACGGAATGCTCATATGATGATCATGGGAGAACCCCTCGTACAGATTTCGAGGCTGGTTAATTCCTTGGAACCCCCTCGGACCCTGTATGAAGGCGTATCTCCCCTTCTCCTTTGGTATAGTGACAAACGTTCCTTTTGTGATCTCACTGGCTTACCTCGATCCCTGCTTCAGCCCGCAAAAGAGGTTCAGTTGTTGCATATGGGAGCCGAAGCAGGTTCTTTAGAACCCCCTCAGTGCATCAAGGCAAGATCCGATGAACTCGGGATCCAAATCTCGCCCAAAAGCGTGCCCTGGCGAGACATCTGCGACGGGATAACCCCCCAAGGTCATACACCGATCAGGGAAGAGGAAGCACAGATGGTGGCCACTGTGTTTTCTTGGAGATCGGATCACTCTTTTATATCTGCACCGCCTGACACTACTCGGCGTATACACACGAAGCAAGTTAATATTTGGATTTTGGATCAGATGTATGAATTGCATGTACCCCAGTATGTACCTGATGAGATCCATCGGCTGATCGCTGATATTTTAATAGAGTATAAAGGGGCGATTAGCGTGTCCGATGCCGATATTGGGTTATCTGTGGTCGTACAGCATGAGATTCAGACCGCGAATCATTCCCCGATCCACTGCAAGCCGTACTGATACTCGTTGACAGAGCGCAAGACGGCCTTGCAGCGAATCAGGGAATTTAAGGCAAATGGATGGATTGAGCCTGCCACCAGTCCCTGGTCGTTCCCAGTTGTATTGGTTCCTAAAAAGAACGGGTCGGTCCGCATATGCATCGATTATCGAAAGCTAAATGATATCACGATTAAAGATGTGTATCCCGTTCCCCGGATTGATGATCGGCTTGATGCGATCGGGTGTGCTAACTACTTCAACAAGTTCGACATTCGGCATGGGTTTCATCATATCTTGGTGAAGAAAGAAGATCGGCCCAAGACCGCCTTAGTTTTGTTTGAAGGCACGCGGCAGTGGGTTTGGTGCCCGATGGGAATCTGCAATGCGCCTGCCACGTTTCAGAGGGCGATGAACGTGACTTTTCAGAATTTCATCAATAAGACACGGCTGACTCAGGGGATGATTAACTTCTGCGTCATTGTGTACATGGATGACATTCTGGTGTACTCGGACACGTTTCACGGACACGCGCAACACATCGAATGAACGTTGGGTGTGTTGAGAGACACAGGTTTCAAGATTGCGCTGGAGAACTCCCGGAAATCTCGTTATTGGGGTATGTGGTGACACAAGGAGGCCTGCGGCCGAACTTTCAAAAAGTCCCGGCGGTCAAAGAGGCCCCGGTTCCGACCTCACTGACGCAGGTTCGAGCCTTCTTGGGCCTGGCCTCGTATTACCGGCGGTTCATCAAGGGGTTCGCGGCTATAGCAAGGCCACTGACAAAACTGCTGCGAAAAGAACAGCCCCTTCATTGGCATGATGAGTGCGACCAGGCCTTCTGGGCCCTGAAGGATGCTCTCGTCACGGCCCCGATTTTGATTCGACCGGACCCCTCTCGGCAGTTTATTCTCATCACCGACTGGCAGCTGTAGGCTATCTCGGCCATTCTGGCACAGAAGGGAAATGATGGGAAGGAGCATGTCATCAAGTACATTTTCCGGATGGTGCCAGACGAGCGACGAAATGATTCCGCGCCACAAGGAGAATGCTATGCGGTAGTGTGGGGTATCCAACACTTCCATCCGTATTTGTACGGTCAAAAGTTTCTGCTCGTCACCGACCATGAACCTCTGTTGGCTTTGAAAAAGCTAACCAACTACACGGGCATGATCGGACGATGGGCAGTGCGGTTGCAAGAGTATGCGTTTGACATTGTTCACCGAAGAACGGAGAGACACGGCAACGCCGACGGACTGACACGTTTGCACCGACCCGATAAAGTACCAAAGGCGGAAGAAATAACACCGTGGAAGGACATGTACCTCAATAACGGTCCAAAGTATGGAGAAGTTGTGGTCATTCCACGTGGCAAAAAGCCGGTGAAGGGCAATGGGTGACGGAGATAATGTCCAGAATCCCTCTCTTTCTTCCCCATCCTCTTCTTTCGCCTCCCTTCTTGACAAATTTTGTTATTTCTGCGAGACAATCTCTCGAGTCTATTCCGTCCACATGTGTCCTAAAGGGAGGGGATATGTTGAATGGGTAGACTATCGAAAATGTGTCGCACGTGCTCATGGTGCGTGCATACAGTATCGAAGTTGTGATAAACCCTGGTTCTGTCCCTTATGTCGCACTGACAAGATTCCGACGGAAGCCCGATTCCTCGATGCCACGTCGGAAGGCCCTGACAAAATTCAGAAATTTAGAATAGCGGAAGTCTAGACAGATGTCGCCTTGATAGCCACTGTGGTAGGAAACTCCCTCGAAACCTTCTCCAAGGAGGATCGGAGGAGGGCCAATGAAAGAGCATGGGATTACCGATGGGTGGACGGATGGTTAGAAAAGCGTAAAACAGACGACAGTGGGGCATGGTTAGTAGTTCCGCACCCGTTTATGCGATACGACTGGGTACGGACAGCCCACGAGGAGACGGCGACACATTTTGCCGTGCGTATTACCGAAGCTGCGATTGACAGAAATCAATGGTACTGGTCCAATATCCGGGACGACGTTAAATTCATCGTCCAACACTGCCAGGTCTGGGCTGCTGACAAGGCCCCAACCCAACCGCCTAGGTCGATAGTCCCAACGGTGGTTGAACGGCCGTTCCAGAGGGTTAGTATGGATACTACTGATATAGTGGTGCCCCCCGGACTGAAGAGTTGCGACTGTTCAATTCTGCTGGTTTTCGTCGACCACTTTTCTAAACGGATCGAGGCCTACCCCTGCAAGACACGACAAGCCGCGGAAATCGCACGGTACGTCAACCGTTTTCTAGGCATGCACCAGGACACCGAAGAGATCCTGACCGACAATGGGGTCGAATTTAGAGGAGAAGTCGAAAGGAACCTGGTTATACACGGCGTCTCCATACGGCACACGGCCCCACACATGTCCCAGTCTAACGGATTAGTGGAAAACAAGAATAGGGTGATAAAAAAGGCCTTGCGGCGGAATATTGCGGCACGTGACCCCCGACCCTGGCCTGATATTGTCGACCACATCTTGGCGATCCATCACGGAACGCCCCACGAATCGATGGGCCTAAGCCCCTTCCAGTTGCGGATCAATAGTGTCGCATGTGTGTCGATACCGAGCCTCCCCGACGAATCAGGTCTCAACCGACGGCCCACAAGGGCCACCGCTCGGGACAAAGCCAAAAGGCATCTGGAACTTATGGAGCGGTCCCTACCTAGACTGGCCCGGAAGCGACAACGGTCCACCGAATTGGCCCATGGCCAACAGGTCCGGAGTTACGAGCTCAGAACGGGAATGCGGGTCCCAGGACCCAGTATAAGTTAGGGGACATCGTGCAGGTAAGGAAATGTGCGCGCCAGGGTAAACTAGCGCCACGATTCTTCGGACAGTATCGAGTGATTGAACTCGGACCCAACGGCGTGGACACCGTGCGCCTCGCTCCCGAGGTTTCCGACAGTCGATTGGCTCGCCCGATCACACGCCACGTGTCCTATCTCTGTCTTCTTCCCTCTGTTCCGTCTCCTTCTCCATCAACCTCTGTCGACGACGACTTTATCTCCTCTGCATCTCCTTCTCCTTCTCAATCTCTGTCGGATACGGCGTCACCATCGCCGTTGCCATGAGCTTTATGGAGGAGAGAGCTCTAAGTGAAGAAGCGCTGGTAGCACGTGGGAATTCAACACTGTGGCAGGTACATCATCCTCATCTTAGTTCGGACCTTCAGCGGCTTGCGCAATTCTTCTTCTCGAGGGGCGTCTACGCGGCAACAGAGATCCACGTCGACGGGAGGGCTGACGCGATCATATTGGCTGAAGCTGTCGGGTTGCGACAGCGAGCATCTGCGGGCGTCGGCCGGATAACGGTGGTAGTTAATTTCAGTGGAGATCTCACGGCGATCCCCCCCTGCCGACACACGAGAATCAAGGTGGCGTTGCTGCTGTGGGTGCACAATCTTCAGAATGAGTGGACCCAACTCCTGGCGCACCAAGGGGACGTGATCACACCAATCCGAGCGATCGAATACAATGGCCTTCGGCTGGATCGGCGTGACCCCTTGATGCAATTACCCCCTCTCATCCCCTTCCATCCCCGATGAGCTCCTTCTCGATCTCTACTTTCAGGCGTGGCGGACGGAAGTAGAGGGGGACCTTCTCAGTTTTCTATTCGGGTCAGTGCGTCCCGGCTGTCGGAGGCTCCTCACCCAGGAGCTTACGGTTCCGATTGCGCAGCTGGCCGACGATCTTGACATCAGCATTGTCTCCCAGGTCGACCTGCGCTTGGTGCCCCACGTCACCTCGCGCACGCTGTCGCCGTACCTTCAGTGGTCAGCTTGCGTGGAGGGCTTCCCATCGAGAATTCCGCCTTCACGGTTGGATTATTTGGATCCGCGCGACATCGTGGATCCCGCGTTCTACAGACCGCCATACGCGGACGAATTGGAGGAGATAATCTGCGAGGAGCTCGCGGAAGAAAGTTCGGAGGAAGAGGAGGAGAATCCGAGCGAAGACGAAGGGGAGCCAGCACAGCAACAAGAAGGAGAAGAAGATGAGCTCCTGCAAACGGAGAACGAAGAGGAAGAAGAAGAAGAAGACAGCGAGCAAGGGAGCGGTGACGACAACGATGAGGAGCACGCCGACAAGGATCCCCAGCTAGAAATTGCGTCGGTTGCTGATCTTCCGATCAGCAACGATCCAACGCTCGACCCGAAGCCACCTCAGCCAGGCGACGGCGATGTGGCCCAGATGGCTGGGCCGTCCGTTCGCCGGCCTCCTTCCCCACCGCGACACCGACGACGAAGCCGCTCCCCCTCCGCCTCCCTCTCCCTCGCGGCCCGTCCCGCACTTCGAGCACGTCGAGATGAGGCCGATTGGTCTTCGTCCTCGGGCTCTCTCTCTCCGACCCCATGACTTCCTCACCCTGTGCCAGCTCACCCGTTCCGCCGTCTTCCCCCGCAATCCCTTCCTCCGCGACACTTTCCGTCATTACTTCTTCATTCATCTCTCTGTCACAGTCCATCCCCATTCATCCTCCCGGCGTGCTTCCCCTGAGTTCCCTCTCCATGTACTTCTTTTTAGTGTAGGATGACATCGTATCAACGCCGTAGAGGTTAAATGCCTCATTACGGGTTTAATCCCCGCATGCGCCGACCGCGATCGCTTTCGCGAGGCGCTTCTTAGAACCTTCACCACTCTCTATTCCGACTACCTCGCTTCTCTCCCCACTACTGGCCGCCGATTTCCCCGCTTCCATAGAATCATCCATCATTGGAGCCTTCCGGAAACGGACGATGAACTGAAACGTTTCTTCCCGCCTATCCCAGCTCATCCCCCATCAACACCTCCGCCTGCCTATCGTCTTCCTTTTCCTCTTCCCCACGAGTGACGACGACCAGGATACGACTACCGCGCAGCATGACTTCCACACTCATTCGCACGGTATGCAGCAGAAAAGAAGATCAACCATCCACGACCAATCAATCGAAGATGATCGACACGTCAGCTAGCAAGCAGGAACTTGCTTATCTTTGAAACCCCCTGGGCGTCACATATGTGACGAACTAACTTCTGTAATGCGCGACTTTCTGCGCGAAGTGCTAAGCGGGGTCCCACGTCGATTGGACGGGTTGATGGAAAATTGCATGTGTGTCCTTGCTTTCTTCGTTGTTTCTTCGTTCGCACACGAGCCCGTGATGACAGTTGGGGACAATTCGGGAATGCATGGGGAAAAGGGGGTGAAACTTGGCCGGATGGATGCGGAGTGCGTGCCGAGTGCGCGATTAATAAACGTTGACGTCGCTTCTTTTCTTTCGTTTCCCTTCTCTTAATTTTGTTTTGTCGAACTTTTGGGCGCTCAAATATCACGCGGAAATTTCGGTGTATCTTTTTGAATTTCCTTCTTGAATTTTCGTTTCGAATCTTGGTCGGAGCCACACGACCTTCGGAATTTTGATTTTCTTTTTCGGACCTTTTCATCGGCAGGCTAGCTAGGAATTTTGGAATTTTTGTTTTTCTGGGGTGCTGCTTTGCGTGTTCGCACGCTCTTTCTTGCTGCTGCGCCAGGACCTTGATTGATTGGCGCCTTAATCCTTTTGCAACTGTAATTTTGGGCGCACACTTTTGTAACTGTATCTTTCTGTTTCATGCTTCTTATTCGTCCCGCCTCGTTTCTTCCTCTCTCCCCTCCCTTGCTGGGTAGCCGCGTTTGCATGTTCGGATCGATGCGTGGAGTTGGGTACGTCCCCCACGCCGCGGCCCGACCGTGCAAACGTAAGCACTCCCTTTCTCCCATCTATCTACGTCCTTGTAATT